CAGTGCAGAGATCAAATCACTGGTACAGCCGGTAACCGGCGATTTTTTAAGCTTCGGGCTGACGGTATTACATGATAAGGCCGGGTCTATAGACTTTACGAGCACATCGGTTTACGGTGGCATTAATTACAACAAAGCGCTGGGCGATGCCAACTACAGTTATCTTTCCGTAGGGCTGGGGGCCGGTTATATACAGCGCTCCATGAACGTATCTAAAATGCGCTTTGCCAATCAATACCTGGGCGGGCTTTATAACCCCAATAATATAAGCGGTGAAAACATGAACGGCAATAAGCTCAGCAACTATGATGCGTGCGCGGGCATCAGCTTTAATAGTTCGCTTGGCTGGAATGTAAACTACTATATCGGGGCGGCGGCCTACCATGTATCCAGGCCCCGGCAAACCTATATGGGAGCGGAATACATCCGGCTGTCAACACGCTGGTCGGGCAACTTCGGGCTGCGTGCCGGTATCAGCAATACGGTTGGTTTAATGGCCGTGCTCAACTACCAGCGCCAGGAGCCTTACCAGGAGCTTATCGGTGGCGGGCTGATCAGTTACCTCGTCAATAATACCAGTAGTATTGATCAGACGGATAAGGTGAAAGTGTACATCGGCTGCCTGTACCGTTACCAGGATGCCATCATTCCCACCTTTAAGCTGGACTACCGCGACTGGGGCCTGACGCTTTCTTATGATGTAAGCGTGGGCAATCACCGCATCTATTTTAACGGAAATGGCGGCTATGAAATATCATTGGTGATGCGTGGTGCGGTAAGCCGTAAGCGAAGCCTGGTAGATCCGCTGACCACTCCCCGCTTTGAACTGGAAGATGATCCTTCTAAAAGCCCTTATTAATACCTGATAAGTGACAATGCTCCCGAAGCTGCCGAAGGGCAGGAAGACGTAGGCTTAATTATTTATGAAGAAAAACAAAAGCCGGCATCCTTTCTATAAAAGATGCCGGCGCGCTCATGTTTTGTTCTATTTACAGCAAAGCCCTGATCGCTTCAATAGCGGCAG